TCTTGGCGGCCATTTTAATTCAAGTTTGACAGCATCTTGGATAGTTCAATAGGTAGAAATTTGACAGTACGCCGACAATCCGAAATTGACACCTGATTGTCAAGTTTTATAGGTTAGGTATTGGCGAACTATCGCTATTCGTTACAATAACATGGTATAGTCTGGCAAACCAAACGGCGAACTGCAATAGAATTTGCTGCTTTGCGAAACTTGACAGAAACAATAATGAAGAAGTTGGTGACATATTTTTTTTCGTAATATGGGCATGTTCAGTATCTTGAAATAGAAAACAATCCGGCAACATTGTGAAATGATGGATGTGGAGTGGCGTGATTGTTCAGAGGCATGATTCTATTGGTTAGAGCCTGACCGACAGCACAGTGGCGTGATTATTGGCGAAACTAAAGAATTTTTTTCTAATATTTTCATTGGTTTATTTCATTGATGTTTTCGGTGCCACTGAACCAATTATTGGACCAGCCCAATTTGCGCTACGTTGACTCTAGAATGAGAGGGAAGATAAGGATGGAGCTACTAAGGGCAATGTCAATGTCAATGCAATATTTATTATTTATAATAGCAAAGATATGAAATTCCAAAGCGTTTTTGCACCATTGAACGCTAAAATCTTCACTTTTGAGCAAAATATCTTAAAAATTCTCAATGAAAATGAGGATATGAACATCAGCGTTGAACTGGGTACAGTCGTGGCCACTGGAAGAGCACGTTCAAAAAGTTCCAATTCCAATGGGCACGACTGTAACTATTTGTGAAGTCTGTTTTTTTTTAAAGATAATTCCCCAAGTCAAAAATTTAGTAACTGGCAACACAAGCCTTTTCTACATAAAAAATTTGAAAGCATTGACAATTTTACATTGTATTGCCAACAAATATCATTTTGACTTTTATCTTTAAAAAAAAACAGATTTTACATGCTTTTCGTTATTTATTCGATTCTTTATATTAAAATGACACTTCTTAGTAAATTTTAGGGTCTGCTTTTGTTTTGGATTTAATTTCATAAGCATAAAAGTAATACTCCCATTACAATAATGCATCGTTTGCCCTTAGTAGCTTTATCTCTCTCTCGGATCTCTCTCTTATGTTGGCCGCAGGCGCGTCTGTGTTTGTTTATAGGGGACGGCCGGGCCGGCCGGTCCAAACATTTTAGTACGTCATTGCACTGAACCCAAAGACATGGTTGTCATCAGACAGTGTCAATGAATATTCAGGTTACGCCCTAATTTTCTTTCCCCTTTCGTCTCTATCAAGTTACCACTAGCCAGACTATACTTTTTTTATTTTTAATTTTAGGTTTTTTCGCGGAGACGGTCCCAAACGTATCCTTAACGCTAAGATCAGGTTTACTAATCAATATGTATAGACATGGAATTTTCAAATAATACCTGCACAGGTCATGCCTTAGCGTTCAGAATAAGTTTGGGATCGTTTCTGCGAAAAAAGTGATTGTTGTATTGCTGCTTGTAAAATTAACCGTAAAAAAAATGGTGAGCTATAATTTATCTGCATAGGGACAAAAGTTTGCTGGACAAGTGTATCTGTATCACACGAGTTGCGGTGTTGTTGAAGAAGGATCTAAGGGTTAGATGATGAGTACTGCTTTATTGAAAAAAAAAGAAATTGCTTTTCCCTGATAGGTTTGCTCTCAGCATTTTCATATCACCGACTTTATGTATGACGGTACTAGTAAGTTTAAAAAAAAGCATTACCAAGTATTTTCCAATAGACAATAACAAATGAAGCTTCCGAAAGTGCTAAGATGGATGAAAAGTTATTTGAAATTATTCCCTTCTCATTGGAAGCTGAAGTTGAAAAAAAAAATTGATCATGGAACGAACTTTTCTACGATGAACGAAAATACATCTACGAACACTGCACACAACGAAATTATTGAGGATCTACAACGACGAATGAAAGTACTTCAAGCAGAAGTCGAGTACTTGAAGGAGTGCTCTATAAATACAGCAATTTTTGCTATTGATAAATTCCAACATAGTGATCTTAAACTAAGATATTACACAGGTTTGCATTCGTTTGGGGTCTTATTGCTTTGTTCTGATTTATCCTACCATCTAGCCAATTGAAGGATGTTGATGTTGATGAGGAAGTGCGCTCCCCACAAACCAGGAAACACAAGTTATCCCCCATGAATCAAATGTTTTAAACTTTATGTCGGTTCTGAAGGGCTTTCGAGTACGAGACTTTATATATGTGGCCTCATCGCGACATTTTATTAAAAAATGCGCCCTTGGCGAGCCAACAGCAGTATAAAAATGTGGTTGGAAGCATTGACTGTACGGAAATTGCCATTGAATAAACAATGTCAATGTTTTTCCAACTACAAAGGCTGTACAACTTTGAAGTCACTTATAATGACGGACCCTGATGGGTCCATAATATACATGTCCCCACGGGTTCGATAAAGGGCTATAATGTTGTCATTATTTTACATATGTGATATTGAACTAAACATACCAACATTTCGCATAACAGGGCAACAATTCAGCGAAGCTGAAGTGGCATGGATTCGTAAGGTTGCGCATGAACGTATCCACGTGGAGCGCGCAATTGCGCAAAAGCGTTTCAGATACTCGGTAGAAGAAACGTACCGGTGGCACTGTTAGAAAGCAAAAGCACGGAACAGATTTTTTCGATCTGTTGCATTTTAACAAATTTTCGATCCAAGTTGCGCCTGGGTTAGGAAGAATCAGAAAACGGAAAAAGAAATATATTAAGGCAACTCCTACAAATACATTTTGTATACCCTTGTTAATTTTCCATGAAAACCACAAAATCATACCAACGTGGGCCACATATAACAACATCTGTCCTTGCACCTGATAGAAGTACTTATGGGATGTCTTCGAGCTGGTGCTATTAACGGCTTTCGTTCATTTGGTCGTTTTTCCTCAAGCCTGAAAGCTGCCACCGTTATTTCGATTCACAAAGGCGGCGAGAAAATCCCATCAAACTTTCGTCTCATCTCTCTATTAGATCTCTAAAATTTTAGAATGAGTGGATCAGAAGCAAGTAGGTAGTCGATTATCTTCCTGACAACTATTAAGTAAAAACCAGTTTGGGTTTCAAATGGGCAAAAGTCCTGTAGTCTGGCAAGTGGTAAGTTGATAGAGACGACAGGGGGAAGAAAAGTGGGGCGTAACCTAAAAATATTCACTGACACCTCAACTGACACCGCTTGATGACAGCCATGTCTTTAGGTTCAGTGGCACCGAAAACACCAAGGAAATGAACCAATAGGATTATTGGAATTTTTTTAAAGTTTTGCAAATAACCACGCCACTGTGCTGTCGTTCAGGCTCTAACCTTGGGCTCTAACCAATAGAATCAAGCCTCTGAATAATCACGCCTCTCCACATCCATAATTTCGCAATGTTGCCGGATTTTTTTCTATTTTAAAATTCCACACATGCCCATATAGCAAAAAATAGTTATTTATGTATCAAGGGTACTAAGTAGATGATTATGCCCTGAGGGCGACAGTCTTTGGCCCGAGGGTTTGTAAGTCGCCCGAGGGTATATATATATATCTATTAGTACCCGTGGTGCATACAAAGTTTTATGTCATACCAGTTGGTTGTGAATAATAAATACCTGGGAAAAAAGTGTCACTTCGCAAATTGTCATCAGTGTACAAAAATCATTATTTTTTGACAAAAATAATATGTTTATGAGCGTAAATTTATATTTTGTTAATAAAGAATAAGTTAATTGAAGACTGTTTTTTGCGTCTTTATGCCCGCGCGGGCCATAATGTGTACTTTATGCCCGCACGGGCATAAAGTAATGAATTATGTAGATGGTATCTAAGGTATAAAAACACAATAATGAATTGGTATGACATAAAAAAATATATGTCACCAACTTGTTTATTACTGTTTCTGTCAAGTTTGGCAAAGCAGCAAATTCTATTGCAGTTCGCCGAATGGCTAGCCAGACAATACAGCTGACACTGTATTTAACTCCATGAGTTACCTTCTCAGAGCCATTAACAATCGCGAATCTACTGCTGCAGTGTTCTGCGATATGTCAAAAGCTTTTGTCAGCCACTTTGTATTGATTGAAAAAATTAATAAATAGGGCTTCAAGGGCATTGAGCTAAATTTTTTAAAATCTTATTTGGAACATAGGCAACAAGTGGTGGAGTCTCTCAAAAAAAACGTATTGCCTCAGGGCTCTGTATTGGAACTACTGTTGTTCCTCATTCATATAAATGACTTTATGTCTCTGGATATATGGAGATCATTCACAGTCTCTGCCGATGATAATTCAATTACATGGAGCAACGTCGTGCCTGCACTCCTTCACAACTTCACAGCCAAATCACTTCCGCTCTGAACAAAATAAAAACTTGGTGGGATGCTAACTCACTTAAGCTTTCTAAAACCCATCTTATAACATTCAAAAATATCAACATTCCTGATATCTCTCTGTCTCACCACATCCCTGATGCAGTGCCCTCGTCAAAATTCCTTGGACTCCATGTTGATCTTGATCTGAAATTCAAAAATCATGTACGAGTTGTAAATATTTCGTTGAGACTCCTTCTATTCTAATGAGGAGCTTCTACTATCAAAAATCATGAACTTTGCCACAACTCTCATGATCTTCCAAAATAATTATTCTTACAACAGAACTGAATCATATTCGGTAGACACTTTGTTACATCACAACATATTTAACTAATCAAAAAATCCAAATAGAAACAATAAGATCCGACATTTCCAAATCTAAATAAAGAAAAGTTGAACGTTTTCAGGTTTTGTATTGAATATTTTTCTTAAAAATCAGTATTTCTTCAAATAAATGGGTGTTTGCACCAACCTCCGCACATTCAACCTGAATTTGAACTATAGCCTATCTATGCCTAATTGCCTAGAGAGCCAAAATTGTAAAAAATTCAGTCTCCACGTACGTGAATAATATATGTACTATATCTAAACGTTTGTATTTCTTTTTAGAAACTTTACGAAAATATCCTCCACTTGGCAGTATACCTCGTCGATGCACCAAGGACTATAAAATACCCGACAGTAACGTAATTATAGATAAAGGAACTATGGTATGGATTCCGGTATGGGGTATCCACAAAGACCCCGATTACTATCCAAATCCAGAAATATTCGACCCGGAAAACTTTTCTGAGGAACGTAAAAGTAAACGACCTGAATTTACATATTTGCCTTTTGGAGAAGGACCGAAAATGTGTATAGGTAAGTGCGAATTTACTTGCTTTCGTATAAGAATAATTTTATCAATTTTTTTAGGGTTGAGACTTGGAATGCTACAGACAAAAATTGGACTTATAACTGTAATTCGAAAATATAAATTGACCTTAAATGAAAAGACTGAACTTCCAATGAAGATTGCCAAAAGTGTTTTATTGACTCTTGAAGGGGATGTTTATTTGAACGCTGTAAGAGTTTGACATGGTATCTACCTATTGCCAAATTCAAAGGAAATTTATATATTATGTAGGTTTCTACAAACATAGGTATACTTAGGTACTGTCATTAGAATAAAATAAATAAAATAATTTTCATGGCTGTTTTTTTGTAATATTTGTAGATTTTCAGTGACAATGACTGTTTTACAGTGCGTAATTCACTTTAGGTAGACCTATACAGAATAATGGAGTAGTGGCAATATTCAATCATCTTTGAGTTGAAGCTTAAGTTTTATATTGACTTTAAAGTTAAATACGCCATATTGGTAGCCATTTCAATATAAAATTATGTACTTCATATACCTACTTACATACCTTATACTGTATATGTAGGTATTGTTAAGTAGATATAATTACACCTATATTAAGTAAGAAGTGAGTATGTATAGATATAGGTATAATTACTTTGAAAAAATTCAAATTGGAAAAATGCTAGGAGGAAGGTAACAAAGGATGTATCTGCCAATCAAGTGTTTATCCTATGTACCAAAATAATTAACAAAATCGGTTGTTTAATATTGTTAACCCAAATAGTATAGTAGCGAATGCTCACAGAATGTTCTACCGACATCATCAAATGAATAAGACTTTGGAATTATCTACAAATTTCATGTATCAGTTATATTCTGGGAAATATTGGATATGCCATGAATATTTGTTAGTAACGAAGTAACCTTGTATAGTCGTTAGTGTGAAGTTATCCATAAAATCTCAGCCATAAAACTATCGAATCGCGGCCTACTTTTTATTATACCGGCCGGATTCTCATATATTCTAAGGGCTGTTTGTGCCATATTAGAAATAGCTATGAATGTAGGCTACTACTACTAGCGATCGACCAAAATTAATTTTGTATAATGCTCCGCCGTCCGAGTGTCTCAAAAAAATTAAAAACCCTAAAAAGTCGTGATTTTTATCAATTTTTGATTGTAGTCTCCACACGATTATTTGTGTCGCTTCCAAAATAACTATACATTATAGCTACTACTCCTAGCAATCAATAAAAATTAATTTTATGTAATGCCCCGCCGTCTAAGTGTATCAAAAAAATTAAAATCCCTCAAAAAGTCGTGATTTTTGTCAATTTTCGATTGTAGTCTCTACACGGTTGCTTGTGCCGCTTCGAAAATAGCTACACATGTTAGCTACCACTCCTAAAAATCAAGAAAAATTAGGTTTGTGTAATGCCTTGCCGTCTGAGTGTCTCATAAAAATTAAAAACCCTAAAAAAGTCGTGATTTTTCTCAATTTTCGATTGTAGTTAGTCTCTACACGGTTGTTTGTGCCGCTTCGAAAATAGCTACACCTGTTATCTACCACCCCTAGAAATCAAGAAAAATTAGTTTTGTGTAATGCCCCGCCTTCTGAGTATCTGAAAAAAAATTAAAAATCCTAAGAAAGTCCCGATTTTTGTTGATTTTCGATTGTAGTCTTTACACTCAGACGGCGGGGCATTACACAAAACTAATTTTTGTTTATTGCTAGGACTAGTAGCTAAAATTCATAGTTATTTCCAATATAGCACAAACAGCCCCAAGAATCTATGAGAGTCCGGCCGGTATAGTAAAAAGTAGGCCTAACCGCGATTCGTTAGTTTCATGGCTGAGATTTTATGGATAACTTCACACTAACTGTATATAGTCTTCAAGGAATTCATTCCTGAATAATTATTATTGGAGTATTTATTCCGGTAATGGAGTATTTATTGAGCTTAAATATAATTACCCATTTTTCTCAAGTAAATTGGACTTATGTTGAAATGAAAAACTACAAAATTATAGTGGCCATCCTTTATTACTTATACTTAAGACACATACCTTATTACAAAAATATCACATCACATTACATAAGATTTTATTTATATGTTTATTTACAACTACCACTTTAGTTACCTACCATTTTACATACAGTATTAGTCTGTGTACAGTCTTCCGTTTCAATCAGTTTTTAAAATTATTATTAGAATAATGTTTATTGCTTGTATTGTCCCACCTTGAGTTTTTGTATAAATGACTGTACTCACAACTTATCTTATTTTTCTTGTCAAATAGACATTTTTGTATTTGCAGCTCAAGAAATTTTAATTATAATTTAAAAGCAAAAACGCCACAATCTGCAAGAGCATAACAATTATTTGAATTTCAGTCTGCATTCTATTATTAGAACCTGAAAAAATAAAAATAAATCACATTAGGTACCTAGCGAAATGTTATTATATTATGTAGCTTACCTGAATGATAGCCAGGGTGTCCTTCTGTAAAGCTTATTGAAGATTGCCATGGCTGTGGACTGTTATCGTGTATCGTGTATACATGTTCGCTTGCGTATAAATTGAATAATGTAGCCATGCATCGGACCCTTATCACACCACCCTGAAAGGAATTTCCTTGTTTTGAGAAATAGGTAGATCACTGATGAGGAAGTTAATGTAGAACAGATGTAGGTATTCAACAAAATGTTGTACAGCGATTCTCATAAATCAGGCTTGAACTATTGAATTAGATACCTATATCAATACCATCATCAACTAGCAATAACAGAGAGCACTGTTATGTAGCTAACACTTTTTTAAACTTTAGAAAATGAAACGCAGGTTCAGATTACACAGCTGCTGTACCTACTCAGGCATATACAGCATTTTGTTGAACACAACTGCACAAAATGAAAGAAACGATCAAGAAGTTTTTGATGAATTTCAAGAAAGTCAAGGAAGTATAAAATGTGATTGAATTTCGAACATTAGTTTTCATTCATCATAAATAAATCCTTCCTTATATTTCAGAAAAAGACAAATATGTTCGTCTAAAATCTGACATTTTGGATATAATTTGGTAGAACCTTCTACTTTCGAAGCTAGTAGCGTTTGAATTTTACGGAAGAGAAGAATTTGATATTTTTTATAGCATTTTCTCTCGATTTTGGTAAGTATTTAGGTTGAGTGAGCTTAATTCCATCATGTTTGAACCTCCATGGCTCACCTCATGGCATCGATCATAGTTAACTATAGACTAGAAAAGAAAGAATATCGGGGAATTTTTCGTCTACCATGAGCTTGATAAATGTAATAATAAATAAATTATAAACCAATTTACATTATAGAGAGCGACCAAAATGGTTTATTTTTGCTATTTTTACCTGGAATAAATGTTCATCAATTTCCTTCTCCAAATGTGTCACAATCATAGTAGGAGTTTCTCTTTTTGTTGAATACGGATCCAAACGCACTGATCTTCTACTACTTTCAGGGACCTATATCAAAAAATTTACAATAAATTGCTACATTTCTATAAAATTTCTTACCCTAATTCCATTGAGAAACCATGAAACGTTCATGGGTGGATACGACGGTGGAGTTGTACAGTTGGCTATAATTTTTTCATCAACTCTTGTGATTTCCATTGATGGAGATTCTTCAGGAACATCTAATAAGAGATTAATAAAAATGACTGGCTTGAAAAAAAAAAAATGCTTACTTATCACATACATATATCCGGAGGCTATTCTTGTAAGAAAATCTGGAGAATCTGTTGTTACCTCGCAAAGATATTTACCAGAACTCTCTGGTGGAAGATTGAGTAAGGACACGTAATGCATTGAACTTCCACTTAGCTGAAAAGTTATTCACTTATTGAAAATCAATATTTCTGGTAATTTTTTAAATAAAATTCCTTACATCTACTTTGATTCCTGGCAAAGGAAAAATCTGCATTTGTGGATCCTCTTTGGGAACATATCTGAAAAATTCATGAGTTCCTTTATACCATTTCACTGTATACAGGGTGTCTTGCTCCAAATTAAATTCACATCGAAGCGTTACAAAATCATTAGCATGGACAGCTAGTGGTATCAGTGCTTTAACATCTTTAAGTGTGTCAATTTCTGAAAATAAAAATACTTTTGGTATCAATATCTAACAAGTGTTGATATATTTTTTTAGGTGTGGACATAACAACTACTACAAGACATCGTAGGTACAAAGTGTGCACTTTGTCGGCTCTAAATTTAAAACAGGTCATTAGTCAAAACCGTTATAGTGACAAAAATAACATTTCGCAATCCAACAACCACCATTTCCGCTAGAAGACTATTTTAAATTTAACACTTTTCATTCAGGAAAAGTTCTTTCCTATTTATAGACAGGGGACATCTGGACGTCGGGCGAAAAGAGTCATTCACAACTAGGATTTTCTTTGGCAAATGTTTTCATACCTATGTATAGGTACTTCTAATTTAAGTACTTACATTGAAAAAAAAAAGATATACCTACTTAATAATTTTAGTTGGGAATGTGTATCGTTGCCGTATCGTTAAATATAAAAATTTACTATAGTGGGTTATTTTTGGCAAATGTAATTGGGCGAAAAAGAGTATCTTATACTTTTAAGCCCAATTACATTTGTCAAAAATACCCCACTATAGTAAATTTTTATGTAATGATTTTAGGAAAGATATTTTAAGTAAGTACCTATGTATGTAATTTCATTTCTGAGCTTCAGATTGACTTTAAATTTGCCTTGTTTGATAAAAACATCTTGGTTATTGAGAGTTTGAAGTCGATCTGATACTCCGCAGTATTTTTCGGGATTTTTCAAAGGTGATTTAACGTGAATTTGTGAACTTTTCTGGTATTAAGTTGAGAAAAATCTTTTAATTTTATTTCTGAGCCTCAAATTGACTTCAAAATTCACCTTGTTTAATGAAAACATCCTGGTTTAATAAATTCTAAAAGTTTGAAATTGATCTGATACTCTGAAGTATTTTTCAAGATTTTTGAAAGGTGATTTAACGTGAGTTTCCAACTTTTTCTGCTATTAAGTTGGAAAAAACCTCATAATTTCATTTCTGAGCTTCAGATTGACTTCCAATTTGCCTTGTTTGATAAAAAAATCCTGGTTAATAAATCCTCAAAGTTTGAAATCGATCTGATACTCCGAAGTATTTTTCAGGATTTTTCAAAGGTGATTTAACGTGAATTTTACAACTTTTTCTGGTATTAAGTTGGAGAAAACCTCATAATTTTATTTCTGAGCCTCAAATGACTGCAAATTAACCTTGCTAGATGAAAAGATCCTGATAAATGAATTCTAAGAGTTTGAAATCGATCATTATACTCCGAAGTATTTTTCAGGATTTTTCAAAGGTGATTTAGCGTGAATTTTCCAGCTTTTTCTGGTACTAAGTTGGAGAAACCCTCATAATTTCATTTCTGAGCTTCAGATTGACTTCACATTTGCCTTGTTTGATGAAAACATCCTGGTTAATAAATTCTGGAAGTTTTAAATCGATCTGATGCTCTGAAATATTTTTCACGATTTTTCATAGGTGATTTAACATGAGTTTTCCATCTTTTTCTGGTATAAAGTTGGAAAAAACCTCATAATATTATTTCTGACACTGAAATTGACTTCCATATTCACCTTGTTTGATGAAAACACCCTGGTTAATAAATCCTGAAAGTTTGAAAACGATCTGATACTCCGAAGTATTTTTCAGGATTTTTCAAAGGTAATTTAACGTGAATTTTCCAACTTTTTCTGGTATTAAGTTGGAAAAAACCTCATAATTTTATTTCTGAGCCTCAAATTGACTTCAAAATTCATCCTGTTTGATGAAAACATCCTGGTTAATTAATCCTGGAAGTTTGAAAACGATCTGATACTCCGAAGTATTTTTCAGGATTTCTCAAAGGTGATTTAACGTGAATTTTACAACTTTTTCTGGTATTAAATTGGAAAAAAACTTCCATAATTCAAAGCCTCAAATTGACTTAAAATTAACCTTGTTTGATGAAAAGATCCAGATTAATGAATTCTAAAAGTTTGAAATCGATCTGATACTCCGAAATATTTTTCAGGATTTTTCAAAGGTGATTTAACGTGAATTTTCCAACTTTTTTTGGTACTAAGTTGGAAAAAACCTCATAATTTCATTTCTGAGCCTCAGATGAACTTCAAATTTGCCTTGTTTGATGAAAACATCCTAGTTAATAAATCCTGGTAGTTTGAAAACGATCTGATACTCTGAAGTATTTTTCAGGATTTTTAAAAGGTGATTTAACGTGAATTTTCCAACTTTTTCTGGTATTAAGTTGGGAAAAAACCTCATAATTTTATTTCTGAGCCTCAAATTGACTTCAAAATTCATCCTGTTTGATGAAAACATCCTGGTTAATTAATCCTGGAAGTTTGAAAACGATCTGATACTCCGAAGTATTTTTCAGGATTTCTCAAAGGTGATTTAACGTGAATTTTACAACTTTTTCTGGTATTAAATTGGAAAAAAACTTCCATAATTTTATTTCTGAGCCTCAAATTGACTTAAAATTAACCTTGTTTGATGAAAAGATCCAGATTAATGAATTCTAAAAATTTGAAATCGATCTGATACTCCGAAATATTTTTCAGGATTTTTCAAAGGTGATTTAACGTGAATTTTCCAACTTTTTTTTGGTACTAAGTTGGAAAAAAACCTCATAATTTCATTTCTGAGCTCAGTGAACTTCAAATTTGCCTTGTTTGATGAAAACATCCTAGTTAATAAATCCTGGAAGTTTGAAAACGATCTGATACTCTGAAGTATTTTTCAGGATTTTTAAAAGGTGATTTAACGTGAATTTTCCAACTTTTTCTGGTATTAAGTTGGAAAAAACCTCATAATATTATTTCTGACACTGAAATGGACTTCCATATTCACCTTGTTTGATGAAAACACCCTGGTTAATAAATCCTGAAAGTTTGAAAACGATCTGATACTCCGAAGTATTTTTCAGGATTTTTCAAAGGTAATTTAACGTGAATTTTCCAACTTTTTCTGGTATTAAGTTGGAAAAAACCTCATAATTTTATTTCTGAGCCTCAAATTGACTTCAAAATTCATCCTGTTTGATGAAAACATCCTGGTTAATTAATCCTGGAAGTTTGAAAACGATCTGATACTCCGAAGTATTTTTCAGGATTTCTCAAAGGTGATTTAACGTGAATTTTACAACTTTTTCTGGTATTAAATTGGAAAAAAACTTCCATAATTTTATTTCTGAGCCTCAAATTGACTTAAAATTAACCTTGTTTGATGAAAAGATCCAGATTAATGAATTCTAAAAGTTTGAAATCGATCTGATACTCCGAAATATTTTTCAGGATTTTTCAAAGGTGATTTAACGTGAATTTTCCAACTTTTTTTGGTACTAAGTTGGAAAAAACCTCATAATTTCATTTCTGAGCCTCAGATGAACTTCAAATTTGCCTTGTTTGATGAAAACATCCTAGTTAATAAATCCTGGAAGTTTGAAAACGATCTGATACTCTGAAGTATTTTTCAGGATTTTTAAAAGGTGATTTAACGTGAATTTTCCAACTTTTTCTGGTATTAAGTTGGAAAAAACCTCATAATATTATTTCTGACACTGAAATTGACTTCCATATTCACCTTGTTTGATGAAAACACCCTGGTTAATAAATCCTGAAAGTTTGAAAACGATCTGATACTCCGAAGTATTTTTCAGGATTTTTCAAAGGTAATTTAACGTGAATTTTCCAACTTTTTCTGGTTTTAAGTTGGAAAAAACCTCATAATTTTATTTCTGAGCCTCAAATTGACTTCAAAATTCATCCTGTTTGATGAAAACATCCTGGTTAATTAATCCTGGAAGTTTGAAAACGATCTGATACTCCGAAGTATTTTTCAGGATTTCTCAAAGGTGATTTAACGTGAATTTTCCAACTTTTTCTGGTATTAAGTTGGAAAAAACCTCATAATATTATTTCTGACACTGAAATTGACTTCCATATTCACCTTGTTTGATGAAAACACCCTGGTTAATAAATCCTGAAAGTTTGAAAACGATCTGATACTCCGAAGTATTTTTCAGGATTTTCAAAGGTAATTTAACGTGAATTTTCCAACTTTTTCTGGTATTAAGTTGGAAAAAACCTCATAATTTTATTTCTGAGCCTCAAATTGACTTCAAAATTCATCCTGTTTGATGAAAACATCCTGGTTAATTAATCCTGGAAGTTTGAAAACGATCTGATACTCCGAAGTATTTTTCAGGATTTCTCAAAGGTGATTTAACGTGAATTTTACAACTTTTTCTGGTATTAAATTGGAAAAAAACTTCCATAATTTTATTTCTGAGCCTCAAATTGACTTAAAATTAACCTTGTTTGATGAAAAGATCCAGATTAATGAATTCTAAAAGTTTGAAATCGATCTGATACTCCGAAATATTTTTCAGGATTTTTCAAAGGTGATTTAACGTGAATTTTCCAACTTTTTTTGGTACTAAGTTGGAAAAAACCTCATAATTTCATTTCTGAGCCTCAGATGAACTTCAAATTTGCCTTGTTTGATGAAAACATCCTAGTTAATAAATCCTGGAAGTTTGAAAACGATCTGATACTCTGAAGTATTTTTCAGGATTTTTAAAAGGTGATTTAACGTGAATTTTCCAACTTTTTCTGGTATTAAGTTGGAAAAAACCTCATAATATTATTTCTGACACTGAAATTGACTTCCATATTCACCTTGTTTGATGAAAACACCCTCGTTAATAAATCCTGAAAGTTTGAAAACGATCTGATACTCCGAAGTATTTTTCAGGATTTTTCAAAGGTAATTTAACGTGAATTTTCCAACTTTTTCTGGTATTAAGTTGGAAAAAACCTCATAATTTTATTTCTGAGCCTCAAATTGACTTCAAAATTCATCCTGTTTGATGAAAACATCCTGGTTAATTAATCCTGGAAGTTTGAAAACGATCTGATACTCCGAAGTATTTTTCAGGATTTCTCAAAGGTGATTTAACGTGAATTTTACAACTTTTTCTGGTATTAAATTGGAAAAAAAACTTCCATAATTTTATTTCTGAGCCTCAAATTGAC